ATTTTGCGGAGATGTCCTACTCTGCGAAACCTCATAGCATTTAAAAGAGCCAAAGCAAATGCAAGAAAAGTAAGAAGGCAGAGCCAGAGGGATTCCTGGATTTCATATGTGTCATCAGTAACATCCTCTACACCTAGTAAGCGGGTTTGGGAAAGAGTTCGAAAAGCATGCGAAATATATAAAGACCACTCACTTTCCTTTTTGGAAAAAGATGGCCAAGTAATTAGCTCCTTAGAAGAAATTGTGAATACTATTGGTGAGACATTTGCTGCCATTTCTTCCAGCAGAAACTATTCACCTGCATTTCTATCTATCAAGCAGCACTGTGAAATAAATTCCATCACATTCAACTCTTCCAAATCTGAGCCTTATAATAGAGACTTTACTATGCTTGAACTAAGGAGAGTTTTATTGCAGACACATAGGTCTTCTTCCGGGTCTTGATGGAGTGAATTATGAAATGCTGAAGCATCTGTCCTATAAGTCACTGACTGCCCTCCTCAGTGCATGGAGGAGAGCTTTTGTAATTCCTATTGCTAAGCCAGGGAAAGATCCTAGGAATCCCTCCAACTATCGGCCAATTGCCCTTACGAGTTGCGTATGCAAGCTGTTTGAAAAAATGGTAAACAGCCGCCTAGTCTACTTCTTGGAAAAGAATAATATATCGCTTTATCAAAGTGGTTTTCTAAAGGGGAGAACAACGGTAGATAACATGCTCCTTTTAGAGACATCCATCCGAAAAGCTTTTGTAAGAAGAAATCACCTGGTCTCAATTTTCTTTGATATAGAGAAAGCTTATGACAAGGCATGGAGATATGGTATACTTCGTGATGTTCATGGTAGTGGCTTGCGTGGCAACCTACCATTTTTTATTCAGAATTTTTTGGAATCTAGAACTTTTCAAGTAAGAATTGGTTATGTTGTGTCAGAAGTTTTGAAACAGGAAGAGAGTGTGCCTCAAGGCTGTGTGCTTAGTGTGACTTTATTCAGCCAAAAAATAAATTCTGTACTAAAACAGTTTCCTCCCACCATTTCAGGATCTTTATATGTTGATGATCTACAAATTAGCTGTCGAGGTGCAGATATGAGACATGTAGAGAGGCAGCTCCAGTTCGCTTTGAACAGGATCCAGGAATGGGCGAAAAGACAGGGATTTACATTTTTGAAACAGAAGACTGTGCATGCATTTTTGTAGAAAGCGAGGTGTCCATCCTGAGCCTGAATTATACCTCAATGGGTCCGTGATTCCAATTGCACCTGAAGTAAAATTTTTAGGGGTGATATTCGACCAAAAATTGACTTTCGTTCCTCATGTCCTAAACTTGAGAAAGAAGAATACAAAAATTTTAAATATTTTTAAAGTCCTGGCGAACAAATCCTGGGTGCCAGAGCATTGCTCCATGCCTCGCATTTACAGAGCTCTTGTTCGCTCTAGACTAAACTACGGCTCAGCTGTTTATGGATTTGCTCGGTCTTCAGTGTTGTTAAAACTAGATCCTGTTCATCATCAGGCTCTGTGGATTTGTTCTGGAGCCTTCAGGACATCTCCTGTCCAGAGCCTTTATGTTGACTGTTACGAACCATCACTCCATTTGAGGCGTGAGGAGTTGTCTCTTTTACAGTATATTAATATATTATCTCAACCTGACCACCCTTATAAACTCTGTTTACTTGATAATAGCTGCAACCTTTTATTTCAAGCACGTCCATCCTGTGTGCCTTCTTTTCCTGTCAGAGTTTGTCCCCTCGTTGAAGAATTCTCCCTGTCTGCTATGTTCCCACAAGCAGTACAGCATTTTGAAATCCCACCTTGGGAAAATGCACAAATCCAGTTTCTTGATATTTTCCACAGTTACATCAAAACAACTACTAATGAGAGCATCTACAGACAAATTTTTGCTGAACACAGGCATAGTTACAGGAGTTATGTGTCCATATATACGGATGGATCTAAGTCAGCTTGCCATGTTGGGATGTCATTTATAATTGGGTACCACATGGAAGGCAGACGTTTACACGATGCTTCCTCTGTCTTAACCTCCGAACTGACTGCCATATATTATGCGCTTTTGTACATCTCAACGCTGCACCATGAAAAATTCATGATACAGAGGTTATTCACACATTTTTCAGACGATGTATATTGTATTCACAAAACTAAATTACATAAAATTCTTGTGTTTTAAATGTTCTATTTGACATCCCTTATTCTGAACTATCTTTCGACACCACAATTTCCAGGATAATAATGCCTTTTGAAGTGGCAGAAGAGGTATTCTATCCCATTCCTCCCAAACAGCTTTCCAGAGTCCTGTTACGGTTTTGTGACAACGTTTGGATAATGCAGTTTTTAAAAGTCCAAAAGCACAAAAATCCATAGGTGACACATCGGGAGATTTAGTAGGGATATAGGTGAAGGGTATGGCATTGATACCAGTTTTTTGTTCCATTTCTTTTATGAAATTTACAGTAGATTTTGATGTGTGACTGCTAGCTTTGTCCTGGTGGAGTCTCACGGATTGATGGCACTGTGGGTAAAGCGATGGTATTTCATTCAGAAAAATTGATGATAAAATATGTTCCTGATAGTATTTGGAGTTAATCTTGACATTTTTTTTGCACTCTCTTTATTTTTTACTTGCCATTATAAGAAAAACCAGCAACAATCATGAATCCCTTAGAAAAACTTTCTTTCGATTCTTTGAACCATGTACTTAAATTTTTTTCTCCCCTTTTATGATAATAAATGACTCTTTGTTTTGTTACAATCATTTAAATACGCCCATGTTTCATCTATTGTGACAATTGTTTTCCATTTTTCTTTGGATAAGTGTTTCTCATATAGAATTCTGCAGCATGTCCTGCGTTGAGCAATATGCCTTGGAAGAAGACGATGCACATTGCGTTTTTTCACTTTCTTAAGATTTAAATCAGAGTTTATCATTTTGTTTACAGTAGACACCGAGCATTTTAATGATTTGGCAACTGTGCTTTGACTAGTGGGATTCCCTTTTAACATTAAACAATGTACCTTTGCAGAAGTCGAAGATGTCCGTTTTTTTCCTTGGATACTTGTTTGGAAATTTTGTCCCACTTGAGGCTCCAATTTGACGTTTTTTTCCTTTGTTATTGATGATATTACCTATCGATGCTTTAGATATCACAAAACCATGACTCTCACATCGTTTTTCGATAACGGAGTATGCATATTTCTCTTCGGAAAGAGCATAAATGTAGCCTTCAAACCACTGCTTTGTTAAATTCGCTATTTTTAATAAAAACAAAACTTTCAAGCCACAGACGATAATTTTGACTTTTAAAAACATAGTGCGATTGCAATTACTTCTTTTGCAGCAAAAGATTTTTTATTACCGCTTACCAAAATCGTCTAAAATATGTGCGAACAGCCTCTGTATATACAGACTCTTATAGTGCATTAAAAGCTTTAGAATCCTTCTCTAGCACTGAGAATCCTGTGATAGTGGATATTCTCAAGTTGAATATTAAATTAACAAGCTGTGGCAATGAAATTGTGTACTGCTGGGTTCTCGGACATACAGGAATAAAAGGCAATGAGCTGGCGAACATCACAGCAAAATCTGCTGTTGAAATGTCCGGCCGCCTTATCCCTTTTAGAGATATTGTTTGTGTGATCAAGGAGAAGATCAGAAAAAAATGGCAGCAACTTTAGGACATTCAACTTTAAAACAAGTTGAGAAGGGTGAAGCCTAAAATAGAGCATTGGGATACTAGTAGTAGCTGCAAGGAGGAAGTTCTTTTGACTCGCCTTATAATTGGTCACACTAGAGTGACACATAACTTGCTTCTGAAAGCTGAGAATGAGCCTGTTTGTGCAAATTGTGATGTTTGTCTCTCAGTCCATCACATTTTAATTGAATATCCATATTTTAATAGTCTTCGTGTATTTTAATAGCTGCGACCTGCCTCTCGACCGTTTAATCAGAAGAGAGGTCAATACCAATTTGTTTCACTACCTGAAAGAAACAGGTTTCTATTACTTAATTTGAATTTTGTCTTGAGATTTTATGTTAGAATTTTAATGAATCAGATGTTTTAGAATTTTATATCTATACTGCATATCTCATTATCTGAATCATAATCAGCATTTTCATCCCACCATTTCAATATCTTTTTACTTACCTCTATTTTAAAAGTGTGCGGTTGTCTTTAGACTTTTTTCTTTATATAAAATCTATACTTTAGTTTATATGTTGAAAAACGAATCCTGTGTTTGGCGCATATAGCCTGTAGAGCTTTGCACCATAAATCTACTACCACCACCACCACCTTGCAATATGATGGCTGCCATTGTCATCCTGAAAGTAGCATGGGTCCAATCCATAATGCTGCAGCATAGGAAGCATACATTCATCCAGAATAATGCAACTGGTGTTGAGCTGACAATGAATTTGGACCAAGGGTTCCAGTCCATATCAGGAGAAACACCTCCAAATCATAATTCCACATCCACCAAGCTATACTGTGGGCACAATACATTCTGGCAAAAGGTGTTCTCAGGCAGATGCCAGACTCTGTCATCTGAATGGTTGAAGATAAACTTGAAAGTTGAGTTATACTTTGAAGGTTATTATTGTAATATTTTGCAAAAAATTCAAAAGCTGAGACCTAAACAGCCTTCCAAAAGATAAGTTCTACAAAGAAATCAAAAACAGTTGTATGAATGTGTCAATATTGTGTAGACTTAGAAAATCGTATATTGAAGACAGAATATTGGTTCCCTCCTAATTTTCAATTTTGTATGAACTTGGTAGCATTATAAATAGATTGTTTATTCATAACTGTAATATTTTTTAATTGAAAATGTTAAAAAAGTTTTGAATGCTATGTATAAGTTTTAAATGTTGATTTAGTATTTGGCAAGAGGAAATTTGTAAGGATTTATTTAATTTTTAATAATGCATCAATTTTTATATTTTATCCTGACCAAATAATCACACTTTTTTCTCCTTCCTTTCTAGTTCCTTATTCAACGCCTACTCGATCACCTGCAATAGAAAATTTAATGCAACTTAATAACGCTACAGGATCTGGCAGATTGTGTATGCCTGTCGTTCCTCAAATTTCTCAGACCGACTTGTTGAACAGTCAGATGTTAAGCAGTCCAAGTTCCTTTGTGTCAGATTTCAGTCAGCGTCAGTTAAACCAGTTTCAGGTTTGTTAAAATTTGCTTATTACTGTATAAATATTTTTTGAAGGGAGGGAGGAGAATGTTCTGCTTGTTCACATGTACATATTTCCTGTACCTTTCATTGTAGAAATTCCCAAATTGTGGCTGTCTGGCTCATTAAATGCATCTCGCATTGTTACAAACAGTAATATTAATTTTGAAATACAGTGAACTACCATTTAATGAGGGCCAGCATCCATGGTTTATTAAAAATCAGGATTTATCTGAAGGCAGTTGATGTTAATTCTTATGGCTTTGTTTGGAAATCTATCCATCACCGAAATATTAAAAACACTTAAAAATTACGACACTAAATTCAAGTCATTACAATACCAGTAAATTAAGACATAAAAATTTAACAGTTGGAATCCTTAAGATCTTCAGTGATAAGAGATGATAATATAGAAAGTGTTAAAGGAGGTGCAGAAGCAGAAATTGACAGTAAAAGTGGTATGGAAGAAAGTGACTGCATGCCAACCTCAGTTAAATCGAGAAAAACACTACAAACTCTTTAAGAAGAACCCTTAAATTAAAAAATGGGAGTCAGAAAAAGTTACGAGCAGTTTTATGAACTTAAAAATACAATTGAAAGACTGTTGATAAACAGTATGAAACAGATATGGATAGAGCAGCTCTTTATAAGAATTTAAAATTTCACCAGGTATGTAATGATAAAATATTTTTATAAAAATAAATTGCAAATAAGTTTCGTTTTAAGATTAACTTTTAACTATTAATTTAAGTAATAATTATTAAATTAATTGTTAGTTACTATTTTATTAAATAAGTTGATACCATAATTTGCAGTATTGACATTGCCGTTTATTAAACTCATTCGCTTAAAGTTGAAATGTATTTGAAACAGAACCCTTAAATTAAAAAATGGGAGTCAGAAAAAGTTACGAGCAGTTTTATGAACTTAAAAATACAATTGAAAGACTGTTGATAAACAGTATGAAACAGATATGGATAGAGCAGCTCTTTATAAGAATTTAAAATTTCACCAGGTATGTAATGATAAAATATTTTTATAAAAATAAATTGCAAATAAGTTTCGTTTTAAGATTAACTTTTAACTATTAATTTAAGTAATAATTATTAAATTAATTGTTAGTTACTATTTTATTAAATAAGTTGATACCATAATTTGCAGTATTGACATTGCCGTTTATTAAACTCATTCGCTTAAAGTTGAAATGTATTTGAAACAGAAGTGATTTTAATAAGTGGCAGATATTGCGATATAATTTAAAATGCATTTAATTTATAGCGCGTATGATAATTTTTTACCACATGCAGTATTTTCGTAACTGTTGAAGGATTCATCTAACACCACATGTTGTGTAACTTGTGCTGAGCTTTATTTTTATGTTTACATTTTTTTAATTTTTTGAAATTTTGTCTGAGAGGTAGAAGATGTTAGGTTGTAATTTTAAGTTTTCAGTTTACAGTTTTTTATTTTATTAAAATATGTTTTAATGTTTTTGCTTATAGTTATTAATGTACACTTTAATTCTTTAGAATAGAGACTATCTTGATTCTATATCACTTCCTGCATTACAACAACAACAACAACAGAGGTTACAGCAGCAACATTTTGCTCAGCCAGTGGTGAACAATAATGCTCAACTTCCACCATTGTGTAAGATCATATTTTCGTTATGAAAATTTTCATTATTTTTATTAGCAAATTTCATTCCCCCAACCCTTGGTGGTTTTCAGTATAATTTTTCTTATTAAATTTGATTTCATCTGAATTGTCTTAATTTAGTGTAGGCGTTTGTAAATATGAAAAGCCGTGTAATGTTTAATTAGTTACAATTTGTTTAACTTGTGCGTTACATTATTAAGTTTATCCACATAATGCTATGTATCATTTATAAAATACTGTGATAAATTAAAGCTTTCATTTCCTCAGTTAAAAAGTGTGAGACAGTTACAGAATGAAATTAACCCAAGGACATAAAATTTTAAATATTTTTTATTTAGAATTTTACATCAAAGTATTATTGCTAGTTTAATCAATTTGGAGTAATTTTAAGTTAACTCACCAATAGTTATTTTAACTTACCTCCTCAATAGTTGATTGAACTTTAAATTACAATGGCTGGCACCAGATTTGATCTGCTTTTCCTTGGTTATTTTCTATTTCGCATTTAAGTTTGCATATACTTTCTGGTTAATAATGTTCCTTATTTTTCATTTGGAAAATTTTAATATTAAGCATTTAACAACATTTTTGAATTATGGAATAGGAATATTTATATTCGTAAAGCACAAAAATAAATCCTTCAATCCACCAACTTGTTTACCAGGTATATAAGTATGAAATGCGGATGTTTTCCTAAAAAAAAAAAATGTTAAATTCGGAAGAATGTTAAAAAGTGCTTTATTCGAAGTATGCATCATTGCTTGTGTTATATTTTTTTTTCCATCTTTCGGGCAATTTGTAAATACCACATCAGTAAAAATCTTCTCCTGTTGCTGTGAACCATTCGTTGAGCCATTATTTTCGCATTTTTGTATGAACCTGCTGCTCAGGAATCGTGTGACCTATCGATGCAAACAAGTGATAATCAGAAGGAGCCAAGTCTGGTGAGTAAGCAGCGTGGGATAGAACTTCCCAGCTGAGTGCTTCCAGCATGTTGGAAACTGGTTTTGCTTTATGTGATAGAGCATTGTCATGAAGAAAATGACTCTGTGTTGCCTCTTTCGTGTTCTGGCCTTTTTTCAAGCAGTGAACGGTTTAAATTGGCAATTGTTGTTGGTAACATTTAGTGTTAGTGTTAACCATTTCCCCAAGTTTTAACAGCTTTTAGTAGACCATGCCCCTCTGGTCACATCAAACACAGTGTATAGTCTTTCTGCCAGTGATTCGGCCTTGCGGTCGATGTGGATGGTGCACCTACCCACGATTTTTTGCACTTAAGATTCTCAAAATAAATTCGCTCTTCATCCCCTGTAACAATACGATGCAAAAACGACTTTCATACTAAGTGAGCACAATGTGTTTTTGTGCTTTTCCATTTGCCTGTCATTCAACTGATTCAACCATTTACTGGTCTTCTGAATCTTTTCCATCTCTGGTCACCGATTGGAACAGCTTGTGCCCAATTGCTCAGTGAGTTGTTTTTGTGTTTGTGAATCATTCTGTATCCAACAATTCCACATTTTCATATTTTTGGCAGTTTTCCATGTTCCTTGTCAGCAACATCGAAGTCATTACGCATGTTCACCGTACGCTTCTCGAAGTAATCAGTATGATTCAGCAGCAGTTTTCTTCACGTGAAAGCAAAAAATCAAAGCTGTCTGCAAATGCTGTTTGTTCAGTATAAATTTGAATGTATTGAACACAACATTATGCACACATGTGGTTATCACTCATGTACATCTGACACTTGTTGATGTAAGACAAAATTTTCACTCGTGCATGTCTGATACTTCTTGATGACACAACAAAATGGCACAGTGTCAAATATTTATAGCATAAACTGCATTGCTGCACCATCTGTTGTCTGAAATCTGAATTTCATATTTGTACACCTGGTAAATGTGACAATTTGAAAGAAAAAATATAAATTTAAAAATAGCAGATAATATATCTCATTTCAAATAATAACCTGTTGGCAGAGACTTTTATTCCAAAGCTTTTTTTAATCAAAATCATTCCAAAAATGTATAAACAAGCTCTTTATGAATTGGAATTGTTCCCTTTTTCTCATTATTGTTAATGTTTGGATATGTTTTGTAGTTTAAATATCTAGTAAATAGAATTTAAAAAGGTTTGGAATTTGGTTTGAAAAATTGTTTTGTAGAAAAGTCTTTTCTTTCTTCTTCTTCTTTCCCTTTTTTTTTTATTTTTTATTTATTCATTTGGGGATTATTGTCTTTCAGATTGTGCATTAAGCTTGCATGCAATTTTTGAGTTTGAGATCACTGCTATAAACTGCAGTTTCTGAAAAGAAAAACATATATTATAGTTTTTTTCTGTAAAATTCAGTTTCCTTCTTTTCTCCTAAAAAATATTCTGATTTTTATTCTTGTGCGGTTATGAAATGTTAACAGTTCTTTCATTTCCTTCTCAGTGCAGTCAAAAGTCATTAATTCGGACACCCATAATCCGGACCTCAAAGCTAAAATCTTTCTGCTCATGCGCCGCATTGACGCATGCACATAGGCGTTTACGCGTGCGCACCTTTACGACTGCGCATATGCGCGTGCTCGTTTAATGTATAACGGATGGTATAAGCTAAAATTATCTAATTATCTATTTCAGTTAATGTTGATGATTGAGTTGTTCCTTAATCTTCGAATTGGATCCAGCTATTATTATTTTTTGCAGACTGTAAGAGCAATTTTATAAAAGTAAGCTTGAACTTTCGATTATGTCAAATAGAATTTCCGGTGCTGGAGCTCCCAAAGGATCTACAAAACGAAAGTATGTTTCGATGTCCATCAAACAAAAAGTGGAATTGCTACAAAAAATGGGTAAAGGCATATCCTTTGTTTATCTAACCGTTCCGAAATCTGTTTATCGATTTCACGCTGCTCTGCGCGGGTGGTGGGGAACGTTGCGGCGCGCAAATATTAAAATTACAGTTTGTGAATCACCAGCTCTTAGAATAGAAAAATGAAACTATGTGAAAATTGTGAAAGAGATTGATTAATAAGATTCTTGTAAGGATGTATGATTAATTTTTTCATAATGAAGTTAATGTTTATTTACTTAACAAATATTCAGGCAACTGAGTTTTCCATTGCCCCATTGCTTTCCAGTGCATCCTTACTGTGCCTCAGATCAGTAACACCCCTTAGATGTCCAGAATACCCTTCAGTGGGCAGTATAACACCCATCCTAAGAAACTGTAGTCTACACAGACGCATTTTTTGTCATAAGCTTAATTTTCATTCAGTTTTAATATGTTATGTTTTAAATTAATCTTAAAATTATTGTGCATATTTCAGAGTTGCCAACTTTCCCAATTTTTGACCGCTCTCCCGCCAACCCGATTTACAATGTATTTCTCCCGACTTTTTCTTATTCTTAAAATTTCTCACGATTTTAATGCAACTTGGCTTAATACTTTGTTATATGAATAAAAAAGAAAGTGTTTTTGGACGTCTGAAAGCAATTGAATTTTCTCTACATTATATCTAAAACAAAACCTTGCGAATCAGATAGCTTCTGCTTTGTGAGTGAGAGCATTATACGTATCCAGAAACATCGTTCTCCAGTTTTCCAATGGGCTTCGAGCTCCACTGCGTGTCAGCTGGCATATATTAGCCAATGAGGACAAAGCAAGTTGTTATTTGGACGTTCTTTAGTTATTTTCGTTCATTTTGTCCTGAGTTGTGTGGGTACACGTGCCTTAGGGAAATAATTTTAGAAATTATCTTTTGTTACGTCTGCGAAAAAGGTGAAATACTCGTGTACGTTTCAAAAATCGTACACAGTTGACTTTCCTTGCATTATTTCCACAAGGAAATGTAATAAATTTGCGATGTGTACCGCCTGTCATTGCGATTTTCCGATTTCGCATGGTGGAAGGGCGGATGTTCTCAAACATGTGCGTACACAAAAACACAAGGATAACATGAGTTGTTTTAAAAAGAAATGGAAAATAAATTTTTTCTTCGGAAACAAAGGACCAAAAAGCTATTAATGCAGAATGTCTGTTCTCTGCCTTTTTACTGGAGCACAACCTGCCACTGAATGCATTGGATCACGCTGCAGCTTTATTTAGAAAAATGTTTCCCGATAGTGAAATCGCTGAGAAATACTCAAGGTGCAAGAATCAAAACAGGTACAATTGTTAAAGAAATGGGTTTGAAAATTAAATCTTCAGTTATTGATTGCATTAAAACAGCTCTGTTCTGCCCCTCTACGGATGGAAGCAATAATACCGATTCAAAACTGTATCCAATTGTTGTTTCTTTTTTTGATCCAGAGTCTTCAGAAATTGAGTGCAGTTTACTTTATGTTCCCACTTTAGAAGGACATTTGACAGGCTTTTATATAGCACAGCTAATTATTAAAACTTTAAAAGAAAATACAGGGCCTCTGGATAATTGCTTAGCACTTGCTGCCAATAATGCATCAGTATTGGTAGGTTTGGAAGACTGGTGTTGCAGGCATCTTAAGAAAGGAAAATTCAGATTTTCAGATTATGAGGTGCACCTGTCACCTCTTAAATTTAGCAGCTGAAAAAGGGGCAGTTTCTTTACCAATAAATGTGGATGAACACATTGTTGATATTTATTATTATCTTGAAAGGAGTTCTAAAAGGAAGGAAGAATTGAAACAGTTCCAACAGCTGCATAACAGCAGTTTACAATTAGAAAACTTGAATGAAGTTATAAAATCAGCTAGGATTGACACACAGTGGAGTTTAATTGGAAAACTGAAAGGTGCTGATGGAATTTTAAAATATAGTGAACTGTCTAGAATTGTGTTGGCCATCTTGACAGTTCCCCATAGTAATCAAAGTGTGAGAGGATTCTTAGTGTTGTTGCGAAAACGAGGACTAAATTTAGATCTAATATTAGTGATGACACATTAGAAAAACTTTTATTAGCGAAAGCAGGCCTACGTGGCAATTGCTGTGGACAAAATTATGAAGTTTCTTTCTTAAAGAAAGCAAAATCTGCCACTGTTTATAACATTTGTACGAAAACTGATTGAAGTGTCTTTTTTTTTTCCCTTAAACGATGCAAGTAATAAAAATGTTTTTTATGTGTAAGGTATTTTTGTGTTGCTTGCATTTAAGAATTAGTTACTATTTAAAAGTTAATTCATTATTAAAAACTATATTTTTATCATTTAAAAAGTCTTTTTAACATTGTGAAAAATCTCCTGATTTTTGAGTGTCATACGTTGGCAAGTATGATATTTTTACAAATGAATTTTAGGAAATCACTTCATTGAAGACTGAAAACTATTACCTTCCCTAAAATAAAAATTAATGTTTTATGTGTGTATGTAAAAGTTTTAATCAACTTAAATTTTATGTTATTTGTATTTAATTGCAGACAGAAATGCCAATTTAAATATGAGAGTGCCACAGCTGCCACCACCACTACCACAACAACAGCAGAGACTAATGAATGATTTCTCAGCAAGACAATTCCAGCAGCTCGGATTAAACTTTAATAATCTCTTATTACAAGGTAGCTTATCTCTCTTTATTATTACTAAGCTGGAAAATTTTATGCTGAATTTGCTAATTTAATTTCACAGTATTCTTCTTAACTCTCCTTTTGGACTAGGCTTGTGAGTAAAAATGGCTTTTCTCTTGCTGCAGAATGAAATGAGATTTTACTGTTTCTTCCTTATTTTAATGTTAATCTGGATTGGTAACAATCGAGATTAATACTAAAAGCGACCCTGCTCCTTCTTTGTTTATTTGTCTTCCCTCTCACCTGCCTCATACTCTCATGACCAAGTGTGCAGTATTTGCACGTTCTTCTCCTTTTGTCTAGCACATTTCTATTATGGCAAGAAAGGTGTAATTGGTACTAAATGTATACCACATTTTAATGTTTATAATTTTAGTTGACCATGTAAGACAGCCAGATTTTAAAATTCATGAGGCCTTTTTTTTATTTACAAAATGTGTTTAGAATCGATTTTGTTTGAATTTTCATTTTTTTATTTAGAAACAAATATAATTATCTTCTTAGTAAAATAATATAACATTAGTTAACATATTTCGGAAACTCTGTGTAAAAATTTTACTTATTCTTAACCCTCTGGGCGGCCAGGGTTTTCAATAAGATAGCACAAATTTCTCAAAACTACTATGAGAACTTTTTTTTTTTAATTTTAATTTTAATGCAGAAACTCTTCTGGTATTTCATACCTGGATTTGTCTTCTTCTGATATATTGCCTTAATTTCGTTTACATATTTTAATATGCATGTATATATACGTTCTTACAGATATCACAGCTATTTTAGACCGTATATATATAAAACCTTGCTGCTTAGAGGGTTAAAACACAAAGCGCAAAGAAAATCCCCTTATGATTTAGCGATTTTTTTTTTCCTTTCTGAATGCATTGAACAATAAGAATATTACTTGAGTATTTTTTTAATTTTCAAAACCTGGTGCTAAACAGCTAGAAGGAGAATCCTTGAGAGTATCAGCTAAGTATGCTAGTTAAAAAAGCCATTTTCAGTCATGTAAACAATTTCTCAACTCAAATCTATCATTAAAAAAAACATTGAAGTTCATGTCTAAGTTCAAACCATCAATTTAGAATTTTCTCACGTTAGTCAATGAACATTGGTATGAAAATGAAGCTTGGTGTGACTACTTCGGATTTCTTCACATGTTTGCGAAAAAGTTGTGCATTCAAATGATGGTTTTTCATATAGTTAACGATTTTCATGCATTCATCCAGAACTTTCTGTAGATCAGCAGGCATCTTATGTGTTGCCAAAGCCTCTCTGTGTATGCAGCAATTTGTGGGTATGGCATTTGGGGCAACATTTTGAATTCTTGCTACGAGTCTTTTATTAATGCCAACCGTACTTTTTGCTCCATATGTGCTTATTCCAAGACATCTATTCCAAGACATCTATTCCAATCAGTTTTGTTCGCTTGCATAAATTTATTCATAACAGTTAAGATATCGTCTCCTGTTGTGTGACCTAATACAAGGTAGCAAAATAAAAAGTCATCATGAATTTCTTGATATTTTTTTCATATCTAACAACTGCCATAAGATTTGCAAAATTCGCAATATCAGTGGATTCATCGACTTGCAATGCATAATAACGACTTTGAGAAATATCAGATAATAACATCTGTTTCATATTATAAGACATATCAATGATTCGTTGATGAACTGTATTATTTGAGAGAGAAACATGGTCAAAAGTTTGCTTCACTATCTCCTATCAGTTCTTCTGCCATTATCGTGGCTGCAGACTTGATTAAAATTTCACCAATGGTTTCCGCTGCACTACATTTTGCAATTAAAAGTGACACGCAATACGAAGTCTCTAGCATTTTTTTATTGTCACCTGTCAAACCCCACATTACTTTTCAAGACTGATTTAAATCCTTACGTTTATATATGGGTTTATCTTTGTACTGATTATGGTTTGTCTCAAATTTCATCTCCAGTCCATGAGAATCCAAATTTAACATATTCTTTGTCATACCTGCGAGTTTTCCTTGCTTTTTTCTTAACACATTCTTTCATAATTGAAGTTGATTCGTCGTTAGCTTCCATTGTTAATTGCTACTATAATCATTACTTTCTCTCGGTGTAGTAGTTTCAGATTTCAACCAGCAATCCTTAACCTATGTTAGGAATAAAAATTGTATTTTGTTATAATAATCAAAATCATTGGGGTTTACTAAAGCACATAATAAATGTTTCTTTTAAAAAAATCACTTAAAGGCTAAAAATACACAGGCACCTGGAGAAGCCACTAACTATTAACAAAGTAAATTGTCTCTGTAGCTAAGTGGGGCATATTCCCAACATGTCACACTGGACCATCTCACGCCTCACAAGATTGTCTCGACTTGACTATTGCGAATGTAGAATTAGGCACAGCTAAGTGCAGTGCAGTGCAGTGCATATCCCCACCAAACTCCAGAGCAACACGTACCCCCAACAAACTCTTCCCGTACCCCTGGGGATATGCGTGCTACACTTTGGAAAACACTGCTTTAGATCAGCAGCCTTTCCCGTCACTCGCAAAAGTAATTGCAACAATGATCACTTACCTTCTCCAACAGCAGTTAAATGCCATTGCCACTTAATCAGGTGCCCTCCATCTCATCCAGATGAGTTCACTGAAAAATATGGGAATGGTCATAATGTTTTGGCTCGTCAGTGAATATGTGACCAGCCTTTCTGAATCTTAGAATCGTGATCACAGTGGTGTAATTTCAAGTCAAAAGGCTAAAATTATTTAAGTTTTTAAACAGTGCTAGATAGTGGCTGAAATCTGTTATATTTTTTAATAATGTTCCACAGAGCTTTAACCTTCAATATGTGTTTTGGTTGGAATCAGGGTAAATATTGTTACATTATTTTCTTCCTTCACGTTTGCATGGGGTTCGTAGATTTCGAGTGAATAACGCTGACACTTGATGAAGTATCGAAACATACTTTATTTACCAATATTCTCAGGACTGCTCTAAAATCACTTTTACAGTCATCGAACTGTTATAAACACGCTGACACGTTCAGCGACACAGCCTTCACACTATCAGGCAATAACGGTGGAGACAGCTTCACTGCAAAGCACCAGAGTACAGCTTCCGACTCTGTTTGGTCGTTCTCGGAACTCTATGTACTCTCGAGACTCTCCACGCGATGCACTCGACAAGAGTATAGCTCTCAACGATGCACTAATTCGCAATGCACTTAAAGGCTGTCTTGATGCACTCGGCGCTTGACTTCGAGACACTCGCTCAATGACTGACTATCAGCTCGCTAGACAAAGCACACACACTAACTGACTGTGGACCCCATTGTTCGTACGGTCCTTAAGAGTCCTAAGTCCTTAAGTTTTTTGGAATCGATTTTTGGTCCTTAAGGCCCCGTTCAGACGAGGGCGTAAAGGACATAAGTGGTTAAAGTCGAGCTCCCTTGCCAAGGCAACCAGTCACTGCTACGTCACAGAATCTGGTTTAAGGCTCATGGCATAGGGTTCCAAGTGTTGAACTTTACGCCGAGTTTGGGATAAGCGTCGACCAATCAGAGCGAAGCTAAAACGAAGCGGCTTTCTTTAGACGATTTCGCTGTCACATCAAAGGCGACATTTTTTTTAATATGGATTACATCGTATCCGATTGAGTTGTAATCGTATCCGAACGAAATAAAGAGTTGATCTCGCAAGAAATATATGATGATGACATGCATTTTTTAATGAGTTTTTAATGCATTTTTAATGAGTTTTTCAATTTATATTGAAAAATATAAATGAAACTCGTAAAGCGAAAGTTAAGCTCAGGGTTTGCACACTATGTATGAACCTGTAGATGATTGATCCCATCCAATATTTTTCATTTTATTATGAAAATTCTTTAAAAAATGCATGCTCGCAAAATTTTATTTTTTCTGTGTAAATTATTATTATTATTTTCTTTCTGTCCATAATTTTTTTCTTGTTTAATTATTTTTGCATTTAAGAATAAATTTATTAAAAAAGCTGGAAATATTGTATTGCTATTTGCTTCAAATGCTGATTTTCTTTCCAAACAAACTTCAGGAATTAATTTTACTAAAACATCAAATCAATATCAAGAATGAATCTGCTTTTTTTTTTTTTTTTTTTTTTTTTATCTTTTGAGAAAATGCTCTTATAAATTCCAAGAAAGAAAAAATGTAGTGAATTATCCTTAAAACAACAGTCAACAGTCTAGACAGTTTTGTCTCCTGTTGAAGTTCTGTTCTGTTTTTTAATTACATTCTCCATGAAAGGAATTATCTTTTAATGAAACTAAAGCACACATAATTCATAACATGGACTATAATTTAATGAATAGTATTTATTATTATTATCCACTCTTTATTACTATCATTTGAATGGAATTTTTATCATTACATTCATGCTATTTCTCTGGTAGAAATTCCTTGATAAGGTATGAATGTTTATAATTCTGATGTATTTGAAGACTTGTCATTTTGAAGACTTGATGTATTTGAAGACAATAGTCAATTCAAAGCTTACACCATTGAATTGACTATTGTGGGTACCTAAAATTTGTCAATGGGAAATTACTTTTGAGATTTGGTCGTAAATAGAAATGACAGCATATGTTGAAATTAAATTTAGGGGTGTGGCTTATACATGTAAATTATTAAAAATAGATGTATACAAACAGCTGGCAACACAGCAAAATGTACTTAATGATTGACCATAAAATACATTGTTGGATGAACGTTTCCTAGTATAGTTGTGTAGTATAGTACTAGTTGTGGTTGCTGGTTATTGTGACCAGTTGTGGGATACTAGTACTAGTGATAATTGATACTGGTAGTGCAGCAAACTACTGTAGTGATCGACAGGGACAGTGAATAAGGAGTGCTAAGCACACATGTTTCGGTGTCACAGAAACATATTCCTTTTGATTGAAAATTAAAAAAAAAATAATAATAATGTATGGTAAGTACTGTTTTTAGCTTAACTGCTTTCACACC